GGTTGAAGTATGTTTAGGCAGATTACCAAATGGAGACATTTGGGCACCATCAGTGCCATTTGACTTTTATCAGGTACCAGACAGCAAAAGTCACTTAATTTCACTAACATATCACTATATGTGTACATTCCATCAAAATACAACTGTTTTGATGTTGTTTCCAATGTTCTCCCAGACCTCTATACATGTTGACTAAAGTGATAATTCAGTGACAAGAAATAATACACATAGCATTCTATTGTAAGTAAACTTGCGTGTGGGCCTCTATTTAGCCAATAAAAGTGTTATCATACAATAAACACACTCGATTGTGATCCTTGCGGGACTAGCTAGCAAAATATATATTTGAGTAACTGAAGCTAAGCTACCTAGCTAGCTAAACTAAGCTAGCTAGCTAAGCTAAGCTAGCACAAATTTACGTTGAGCTTCAGTTACTCATAGATATTTTAGAATGTATGTTTTGTACTCATACAATACATTAGTAATAGTAGCATTAGAAGTAATACATAACAATGGGATTACATACTCTTCTGATGCTTGAGTAGGGCCCTGGACACGATAATCTTGGGGTCTTGTTCGTCCGGTCTAAGCAGGTCCTCATCGTCCAATTCAGAGTCAATGGGGATACATGGAGTCCAACTTTCATCTGTTTCAATTGCTAACGCCTCTGTAACTGTATATTTCTTACTAGAGCCTGCCATATTTTTATAAACTTTGCGTTTTCCCATCCGAAATTCAAGTGCTGTTGTGTGCTCTGCGTTACCTTGCGTAATACAGCAAGTCAACTAATGTGATACAATGATGTGCGCACATGGATATTTCAACAACCGGTTGGTCAATTTTGACGTGACCCCTCGATCAAAAGCTCTGGATCAGTAGAATTAGATTAGCACAAATGCAAGCCACTGGGATTGCATTATATATCCAGAAGATGGCGACAAATGTGCCTGTTGTGATTGAAACCAACTACTGACTTCATCTTCAAACACATTCTTGGCCATGTAAAACGATGTAAACTCATTGAAATCGACTCTGAATGAGAGAGAGACACTAGAGTATCTTTTCAAGTGGTTTTATTCGATCAGACACTACTTTTGGTAACAAAAACAACAAAGGTAAGACACAGTTTGTTGTTGTGATTTAAAAAAAATGATGTTTGTTATTGACGTTCTTTGATTAATAGTTTAGTGAGTGTTGGTCATTGAGGAACACGACTATCACTGTTGGAATCTGTGAGGTAGCATCTTTCGAATGGTGTATCGTTTGTGTAGATAGGTTGAGAAAAATAAGTTCTGTCTACGAATATATACGGGCATGCACGGTTTCAAAATACAGTACTGGTTTTGCTATATGCTTATATATTTGCTTGGAGTCAGAATATTATTTCATTTGGGCAACAACAATTTAGCTAGATTCACAGTTGAGACGCTTCTCGTTCCAGTAGTTTATAACATTCAGGTATTCACACATGTTAAAAAACTGTACTACGTCATGGTTTGAGATTGCGGGAGGAGTACCCCGGATATGGGGAACCTCAGGATGAAGAGTTTAAAGACATTTTATTTACATTTTAGTCATTTAGCAGACGCTCTTATCCAGAGCGACTTACAGTTAGTGATTACATTTTTTTTTAATACTGGCCCCCCGTGGGAATCGAACCCACAACCCTGGCGTTGCAAACGCCATGCTCTATCAACTGAGCTACATCCCTGCCGGCCATTCCCTCCCCTACCCTAGACGACGCTGGGCCAATTGTGCGCCGCCCATTAGTCTCCCGGTCGCGGCCGGCTGCGACAGAGCCTGGATTCGAACCAGGATCTCTAGTGGCACAGTTAGCACTGCGATGCAGTGCCTTAGACCACTGCGCCACTCAGGAGTTAACCTGCGCCACTAAAGGAGTTAACCACTGCGCCACTAAAGGATAGTTAACCCAAATTACAAAATGATGTATTGGTTTCCTTACACTGTCCATATACTGCTTACAGGATATGACAGCAATCCATGCTTAGCTTTAGTTTCCTTGATATTATTTTTGCTCATCAAGTGACTTTGAGCTTCACAATCAATTTTAGATACTTTCAGATGATTCGGACATGGTGCGTAAAAAATGCTAATATCGGTCCAATGACAAATGGTAAAACGTTAGCATTTGGAAACAGTGCCAGAGGAATAAAAGCAAAGCATGGATTGCTGTCAGGGTAAGGAAACCAATGTGTCATTTTGTAATTTGGTGAACTATACCTTTAACCTCTGTCAATTTTGCCTTCAAAAAAGTTGGTAGTAGAAGGGAAGCTGCAGGATGGATGGCTATTCTTTTAGAGGAAATGGTAACAAAATTCAAAGCACTGATTTTATGTGAAACAAATATTTATGAAATCTCCCATCATGCCTTGGCTATTACAGTGGGACAATACAGGATCAAGGTCAGTGGTTGTATGAAACCCACTGCATTTGGCTCTGAAGAAACCGGACACATGTGGAAGTCAATGGGACGGTGAATTGGAGAGGGCCAGAGGTTGAAGAAAGAAACAACCTTGTGTGGCTCTGGTCTGAGAGTGCTTTGAAGGCTGAGGGGGCGTGGAGAGTGATGGAGCGATCACCAACGGCCAGCTGGTGCGCTGACAGCAAGGCTCCCTGGGTAAAATATGGCGGAGGGGGGATTTGGTGTTCTTAAACCTTTTACAAGCCGGGGCGCTCAGTGAGGTGCACTGAAAACAATACTGTACAGGAAATTAAATCACCTTGCAAGGAAGTGAGACTGGTCACCGCGGCCACCATTAATGGCCTTTTAATTAGAACCATAATGTAATTCTACCCAGCAACTGATCACCCTAGTATGGTGCCAATTACGGGATGTGAGCGCCCTGTTTCTAGTAAACCTCTTGCCGTCGTTCGTTAATTGGGGATGGGGTCGACGTGGTGGGCTGGGTTGGGGGTTTTGGGATAAAGGAATGTGTCCCCTCACCATCTCAGCCCCTAATGGTCAATTACCGGGGATGGTTGCTGGCATCAGGGAGAGACCACAAATCTAAGAGGGGGATTGGCCTGCAAAAACGGCTTGGGGGGCTATACCTAGTTCATTCCAGGTCCAATGCAGACTGACTAACCCAATCTGTTTGGCCAGTAACATGCCATTGTTAGCATAACGACGTGCTGGTGGTTTTCCTTACTCTAAATGCATTGTCTTGCTGTGAATGGAAGTTATTTGAGAATAATAATCATAGTTGTTATTGAACAAGTCTTTCCAATATTGTTAAACTATTCTTGAAACGATAAAACTAATGCCCTTGTTTGGGGCTTATTTTGAGGTCAGCCATGGACTGTTAAGCTTAGTGTTTTGGAGAGTGTTTTCGCTCAGTGCTCTCAGCTGTGGTTGGTAAATGAGAATATTGCCTATATGTGTTCACTGTTCACCCCTTTTACATCAGCGTTGGCCTGGCTGTTGAATCATCATTCAGTACGCCCACATTCAGCGGTTTTGGATCAGTAGAGGTAAGGAGAGGGGTGTATGGGACTGGAAGTTGCACCTTCAAGATCTAGGCTAGAGATCAATGGTCTGTTTCGGAACCGGATGGGGTATAGGTGCAGGAACCACGGGGAAACCGAAAGGCAGAAGGGAAACTTTTTTTAATGCTGTAGTCATGGAGTAGGCCAGCCTATTCTCATGAGAGATCCAACCATCATGCCCCTAAAATACTCTCTACCCACACCGATAGTGCCCTTACTATAATCAGGTAGAACAGCAAGAGTGACTTGTGATGATGTAGAGCTGGGGCGATAAACCAAAATATTATCGACATTGATCACTTATCGCATGCATTCTGCTGATATCGCTCATTACGATAAGTAGCCTTATAGGCCTACTAGAGAAATGTGACGTTTTAAATTAAATATGTTTTCTAATATGGGTGATTGTTAATGGTACAATTGATGGCTACAACCATCAAACTAGTAGTAGTAGTTTAAAGGCTAATAAAAAAGCCTTATCGCTCTATTTATCGTTATAGCATCAATTCAGGCAATTTTTATCGCAATATGGATTTTTGTCCATATCACCCAGCTCTGATGTTGTAAGGGATGCTTGAGGAAGTCGTCCAGCGAATCTGAGTGGCAGATGTTTATGATTTGGTTACGAGGATTGTATTGTTCATGTACTCCCCCCTAAGAGCTGCTGCCATGACACCCTGAAGCTTCAGGGACACCACCTCCTCCCGGTCTTTGGTGTCTTCCCATGTGCTAGGCGGATTTACACCTTTGTGTTTGAGTCCCCACCCCCCATATGGCGAGGTGTGCTTTGGGGAAGCGCTCTCATCCCTGGTTCTCTCATCCCTGGTTGTCCCCCTCTTTTCTTGTTTTCCCTCCTCTCCTCGTTACATTTTGTTTGTGAGAGGAGTGTGCCATTTTGAGCATCTCTCCACTAATCCAAACGTCCACGTTGGCAAACGGGAGCAAATTGCCTATACAAACAAGAGTTGGGCACCGACAGGAGTCAGGAAGGAAACGGGGGATGACTGGCTGAAATGTCTTTGATTAGCGCATGAGTTGCCAGGTCAAGATTGGTGGTGGTAGTAGTTAGTGCTTAGTAGTAGTAGTTGTTAGTGCTTAGTAGTAGTTAGTGCTTTTCATTACAAACAAGAATCCCAAAGTCACGTAGTAGTAGTGGTGAAAACTACAAGTAGTAGTCAATCAAGTGGTTGAAATAGTGGACAAAACTACACTAGTACTGGCTTAAACTAGAAGGAAAACTTGACAAGGGTTGACCATGCTGATGACTGTCAGATATTTGTGTAGCCGACTGCTTGAGGAATTACAGTGGTGTTTGATACAAGCATAGATGATGATAGAGAAACTCCCCATAGTCCGAGATTAATGTTAATGCCTATTATTTTCGGATCACAATAGTGAAATTCCACTTCCCTTCCCTTTTTGATTGGACAGAGACACTCAGGTTGTGGCCATGAAGTCCTAATGAAAAATGCTTAGATTTTCCTGTAATCAGTCTAGTGCTGAGGGCTGCTCGTGTGGGCTTGTACAGCAGTCTGCAGTGCAGTCAGTCATATAGGTCAACAGTGCAGAAGAAAGGAGGCTGGAGCAGGAGCAAACGGGGAGAGGAGAGAATCGGGGCTGTGGTAATTAAGTAGTCCATGCCTGGGACCAATTATCGGCAAACCGATTTTGTAAATGGTTTGTTATTTCAGGTTAGCCGCAGCTCGGCCACATGAAAATGAATGAGCAGATTTGATGAAGGCCTGACCACGCAAAGGCCACTGCATGGTCTACACTCCCCCCAATTCTGTCTGCACTCTTCAGTCAACTCCTTTAAGGCCATAACCTTCCACCTTTGTTGTTTGGACCCGTTGCCCTTGTGGCCCTTGCTTGACGAGGGGATATCCTGGATGACACCTTTTTTGCAGTGTTGGCTGATCCTAAGAGCTTAGCGTCTGGCCCCCTGCGTCTAGAGTCCCTTGCTAACTCGATTAGTCCAAAGAGGAGCAGGTGACCTCTCCTCGGGGGCCCCACTGGCCCCTGTGTGGGGCACCATGACACCGGTGTTGGAGGGAGGATGTTCATTAGCGGATTGAGGACTCACCCCTGCGGAGCGTCTAATCATTACTCTCCATAGGTTGAGCAACTCACACCACTACTAAATCGTCTCGATGGAAGCAGACTCGCTGTTCCGCCACCCACTGAAGTTTGTTTTAGGAGATAATCGTTGTTCCTTTTCACAACTTCATTTGTCTCTGTAGTGGGAGTTCACCATTTGGCAGATGACCATTTGGACCCTTTAAGCAAAGCATAACTTGTAGCCACATGAAACAAAGCTTTGGTCAACACTTGTTTCTCGTAGCAAGTTCAAAAGAGACACGTAAGAATGACAACCTCAAAGTCGGACCTTTTAAAGTTGACTTGGAGGCATCTAAAACAAATATTTTCTGTGCCATTCCTTCCAGTTGGGAAGCCGCTTGACCTTTCTGCATACATACATTGCAATGTAATATTGTGGTATTATACACTTTGTATTGTAGATATGTAGTGGTAGAGTAGTGATGTAATAATGTGTTGTATGACGTAGTTTTTTGTTGTTGTGATGTGGTTGTTTAAATCTTGTTTGGACCCCAGGAAGAGTAGCAGCTGCCAATGGGGATCCAAATAAGTACAGCATGGTCTGTCATTTAAGACCTCACATCTGGGACGTTCAATTTAAAAAACTGACATGATTCACTGTGGCTTGATGGCCTTTTTCAGACACTAGAATCTAGATGTTCCAATTAAACGATGCAACACACAGTTAGTGCACCTGTTATGTTTGTTTAATGGCGAGGCTGCTGAGGCATGGATAATGCAGTGTTTCAGCTGAGTCACGGACCAAATGTCGTCGAATTGAAAGGGTCATACTAAAGACTAGCTTTAAAATGACTTGGATTTTTAAACTGCAAAGCTTTATCATTGTTGAATGAAGCTTGAAATGGAATTGATTTGTATCGGTATAAGAATGAAGTGTAAATCTTTTACCAGCATGTACCTGTTCCATTAATGGAGGCGACTCTCTTTTCTGTTGTGCTTTAGGCAGACGGAGGCCCTGTCTGAGATAAAAGCTCTCCTTTACTGTATAATGTACCATATTGAGTTTGACAGCATGTCTTCTTTGAAAGCATTTTATTCAGCCGCTTTGACAGATCGACTTGACAGATAAAAAAATAAAAAAAATACCTTTCTCTTGGAAGTGCCTTGGGGTAAAGTCTTGCATAGTTTAAGTGGATAAACTGTATTCTAATAGTTATCTTATCAGATGTTAAGTGCATCTGTTAGAACTCAATTGGATGATGGTTCTAATCCCAAGTACGATACAGTATGGGAACGTTAAGTTAAACGCTCACCATACAAGATGAAGGGGCGCAAATAGGGGAGGGCAGGGGTTTAGAGGGAAATCAAAGATTTCATGAGTGGAAGGAGCTGTTGGTGAAAGACGCAAGACATATTTTCTTGAAGCTTTTATTTTCCCAACCTTTTTCTTTTACAGTTCAGTTCTGTGTCATCCAACTCTGGCTCATTAGAACCCAGTCTCTGGGGAAAGGGCAAATGCATTGTGACTGGTATTGTTCTATGATTGGCATCTCGGCTTGATCTGCGGGGGGAAAAAGTGAGTGCCTCGGGCCTGCTCAATAAAAAGGCTCTCCCTTCCAAAACTTAGCTGTAATCGTTGGCAAAGTTCCTGTTACAGGTCAATGAGTGTATTGTTCACCTCGCTCTTCCAGTCGCTCCTTCGCATGTACAGTGACCTTTTCAACTTCGACTAGGGAAACGTAGCCAAGATGGTACCGCAAAGCCAACTCCCCCACCCTTTCCTGTCTAAAGTGACGCACACAGGAATGGTAATATAGCCAATGTATTGGCTTTCTCATCAAGTTGATGAGTTCCTTCTAGGGTCACGTGTTGCTAGTATGTTGTAGAAGCACACTGCTTATAATGGTGATCTACACTGCACAGGTTGCAGTCCAGTTTTGTTGCCGCGTGAGATTTACCTTGCAACAGGGATCCTGCACCGAAATACTGATAAGTCTACTGGTATAGGCTTAGAGAGGAAGTACACCATAATGGAAGGCCAAGTACAGCAAGCGATAGGACGGCCACCCACTGCTTTTAGCGGTTCGTCGTCGTTGTGTGTCGGAGCTGTAAGACTTTTAGTGGGTGATTTTTAAATGACTTGATGAGAGTTTCAAAACATTGGGGTTGTGGTGATTTAACAAAGCCTACAGAGAGTGGTTTGATTCGACATGTTAGAAACCCCAACTGCTGCAATGCAGTAGGTGGGTTTTTCATTGGTTGATTGATCAATAAAATGTACATTACAGCTTCCAATGGCTGTAGGGGATTTCAAGACTGTGGTGGATGGATTGTTTAGCTTTGCTGTGTTAAATGATGGGGGAGATCCTGCCTGGGCAATGAGGAGGTAGACCAGGTGTTGACGCTAGCTAACCCTTCGAGAAACCACCTTCCAGACGGTCTCACAGGTCCACAAACCTGCTTCTTCACTTGCTTCACCCCCACACGGGAAAAGAAGCTGGAGGCTAAATGTGTAAAAGAAGAGAACTGCTCAAGACTATCCTACACTATGTTTCTGGGTGGTGTAGCTCATCTCATCAACCCAGGTTCTTCATAAGTAAGGCCGGTTGGCTACTGTGAATGGAATCTTTTAGCCGCATGTAATTGAACCTGACCTGACCGCGCAATTAATCATAACCCACAATATTTGCTCAGTGTTATTGGTTCTGGGGCAGCACGTACCCCAGCGGTGAAGTCGACCTCTGTCTAGCCATCCAAGCCGTCAGTCATTCTAACCCCCCGAAGGGGGTGGAGCTCTGAGCTGGTGTAATGTGAGCAACTGGCTTCCTGTCTGTCGCTGCAGTTTGGCTCCTTAGCTTTCTGTTTCTCTCTCTACTAGGCTACTTCCAGCCAAGACTCTGTAGGGGACGAGTGCTGTTTTGACCATTCCGACAATAGTTTTTTGTATTTATTTTGACATTTTCTCTAGTTTCTATGGGATTTGGCACATTTGAATGGTTGGCATACACTGGTGGAGAATGCGGTCATTTTAAAACCCCTGTTTTGTTTATCCTTGTTGGTTGTCCATGTCATGCTGTGCCCTGCCATGCCCTGACATTTTACTGCCTCTAGAAGACTATTGTCTGACCTTGACAGTTTGACTGAACTTATAGTGTACCACCCCCTCCAAATGAAATGAGCAAAGGAGCCCATTGTACATTGATAAAGCACTAAGTACATGTCCAATCTGTACTGGCTATGGTTATACTGCTCATACTAATCCGTAAAGACGAACAAAAGCTGAAAGATGTGAAAGGGAGTTAGTAGTTTCTCTTCAATTTGCCTTTCAGGTGTCTTACTATCAGTAAAGACACACTGACTGCACATGCAGACTAATTGGCAGTCTTGCTGCAAAGCCCCCTGGGACGTAGAGAATGACACGGGTGTCTCTGAGGGGGTCACCTGACCTGAAGCGCAGGTTGTTTGTCCTGATCAGCCTGATGGGAACTAAGGGTGTCGTGGTGTGCTGCTGGGTGGATCCAAGGCTTTGGGATGTGTATTTAGATCTAATATAAGCCCAGGGTTTCTGGTATCGACTTCGCGTCAGATTATTGGCGGATATTGTCTTCATGTTTTTATAATGAGATCCCATGAGAGAGCGCTGCATTTCATGTAGTGTCTTGGCACTGGCAGTGTTGAGTTGTAAGCGAGTGCTGCTGGCTGGCAGCAACAGATTCTAATTCCCATTAGTGCCAATGTCTTGTACACACATAAAGGGCTTTCTGTTTGTAATCTGAAGGTAGCCTTGACGAACATGCACAGTAAAATACCTATTATATTATGAAGATCCATGCTAGGAAATGAACTGCTACCTTGAGACTTGGTGCTGCTGTTATCACATTCACATTACCTTTTTTTTATTAAAGGAGAGTGGAGAATCACTACCTTTCCTATTCAAGGCTTTATTGACAGACACATTAGAAACAGTGGAAGATCGGTGAGAGGGAGCACACAGGGACACACAGCGCCGCACATATTTGATATATCCTTGAGGGACTCTATGCACACAATGGCGTTTGTTACCTAGGACACGTTACACCTTTACAAGTGACGCCTGCGTTGAGTGAAAAGCTGATTTTCTCCCCCTCTTCATTTCAGTGTGCAAGGATCCACCCTATAAAGTGGAGGAGTCTGGATACGCAGGCTTCATCTTGCCCATTGAAGTTTACTTCAGAAATAAGGTACATTTAACAAGGTTTCGACCCGTATTGCTTACTAAAGATCCCAAGCTGTGAACATATGGCTTAAAACCAGATTCATGTACCATTGATTACCATGATCATCCCATGTTGGTAGTTTGAAAAATGTTGCACATTGAATGTGGTCAGTGCAGATTGAGGAATCCATGGGCCTAGATCTTTATAAATGACATATGGTTAACAACTTTGTCTTTGCCTTTGTATGAATGTTTACCATTTTGGACTTTGGTACGCAACTGACTTCTCTCCTTTCTTTTGTTCCTACTGATGTCCCACTGCACTTCTCAGGAAGAACCTAAGAAAGTGCGCTTCGACTACGACCTGTTCCTACACCTGGACGGCCACCCGCCTGTCAATCACCTGCGCTGCGAGAAGCTCACCTTCAACAACCCCACGGAGGAGTTCCGCAGGAAGCTGCTCAAAGCCGGCGGGGTAAGACAAGACCGGAGGGGAGGATGGAGGGTGGGAGAGGAACATTTGACATGGGGTGCATCTCAATAGCAGGTGTTTATCCTAATAGCCTTAAGCATGGGTAGCGATACTAGATATACAGGCTTGCTCCAGCCCTGCTTGAACACCTGATTCAGGTAATCATCTGCTCATCAGGACCAACTGATTACCTGAATAATGTGTGTGAGGGCAGGACTGGAGCAAAGCTCCGAAAATCCAGTATGGCCACCCATGCTTAAGGCTATTGAGATGAACACCTCCTGGAGAGGTAAATGATTAAATGACAATCCAGAAGTTGAATGGAACGTAGGTGACGTGACAACCTTGGCCTAGCTGGCCACCAGGTATCATCCATGTCGAAAAAGAAAAGGAAAGCCGCACACTCTAGGAGCTCAGATGCAATAATTGAATATCCTAATAACCAACGTTTCGACAGACAAGCTGTCTTCATCAGGGTATAATCATCATCCATGTCGGTCACACATCAGACCTGCCGTTAGCAGGCAAAAGGGCTTATCAGACACTCTGTCATGATGTTTTATGACCGGAACTAAGTGCTTTTTTATTTACAATTTGTATTTACATGTTTTATTCCCAGTGCCCTCCAGAAAGCCTGTGGCCACATAGGAATGTCAATTTCAGAATAGATTTCAAAACATTTTCAGAGCGGACAATAGCTTCAGGAACATATGGAATTTGTGTTTTATATTTTTAGCTGCCATGCTCATTCCAGGAACACACCAATGCATTATGGCTGAGCACGACATGCACCTTAACATAGATTGGTCTGCCTACATGCCTTTTCAGAGGAAACGAATAAGATTGGCAACAGATGTGCACTGACTGTGACGTGGTTTTATTTGAGTGACTGGTTTGCCAGAGTGACATTTGTTCAGCCCACTGGACGTTTTGAGTACTTGTCCAATACAGCTGATTGCTGTGTGTACACTGACATGCTTTTTGTGTTTCCTTCATAGCAACGGGATCCTCACAAAAGAAGTTCGGAAGACTCTAAAGTAAGACTTTTATGTGAACTAGCATTCTCTTCAAATTGAGACATTTACACATAAGAATGTGTTGATACTGTAGCTTCCCCAATGCTATGACACTCTCACTGGCAATGACTGGCTCGGATAATATAGACTTCTAGCATGACCCACAGTGAAATTTGGGACCTGTATCCAATATGCACAGTTAGACAAGCTTCTATTATTTCTGAGACTTTCCGCATGTTGTTGACCCAGTGTTTCCTCTACCATTGTTAAGGCGAAACCCACCCCCGCCTTGCTCCATTATCCCCCTCTTAAAATAATTGGACTTCTATTGGAGGAAGGGTAATGGAAAGATCAAAAGGTGGGGAAAGTTGTATCAAAGGAAATGCTTACTAAGTTGTTTTGGTGCTGACTCACAGCAGCTCATTTCAACTGCAGGGCACTGGAGCTTCCGAGAAACAGGCCGCATGTTCTCACAGTGTAGCTTTAACCCTTTGTTTACCTCTTGCTGCTAGGCAAGACATGAAACGTTTATTCTTCCCTCAGCTGCTATAGTTGAAGTGACACGGCAAACAAATGCACCCTCAAATTTAGACCCACAGTGAAGCAGCTGTGTTCTATTTTCTTTGCGTGCTCACTGTCATTCCATGCAAAGCAATGACTGTCTGTGTGGGATTCCAGGAATAACGTGCAGTGTTAAGTGCTCAAATGTTAGGTTTACTGCGCTTGGCATCGACAAGAACACTACGATAATACGTTAGCCTTGCTTAAGTTTTTGTCCAAACAAAAGCGGTCTTAAGTTTCGCACAGAACCCACTATTATAAGCAGGAATTAAGAAACTGTCCAATTGATGCAGTACTTTCTATTCAAATAGATTCATAAAGCTCTTCACTCCCAGACTGTGAGTGCACAATAAAATACAAAACTGAGTTTTACACCTGCTGATCAGGACAATATAATTCTGTTAATTTGTCTGCTCTTTTATATTGTAGTGTATTATTGTCATTACTTTTATGTCGCTTCTGTTGTAGGTTTGATTCCCACATCTGCTACATGATATATTAAATGGGTGTCACCTATGATCTGTAAGTCACTTTGGATGAAGGCGTCGGTTAAATGACCCCGTTTTACTTCCAGGTGATGGTAATGCAGGAGGGCTCCACATCTCTGTTCGGCCAGCATCTCAAGCTGCCCACCCTCCCCAGCAGCTCCCTGACATTTACCTTCTCTGACGCTAAGAAGAGCAAGGCCTTCCCGGGGTCAAAGGTCAGTGGCGGTCTCCAGGTACAGCCCGGGGCTAAACAGTCTCCCCGTCCTCCTCCCTCTCTTCCCAGCTTAATCCCTGCATAGTTGGCTAGGTTCAAAGATGTTGAGGGTATTTAAAGTCTGTGGATTTTCAAGAGACGCTCGACTTGGGCTTACGCAAGGTATGCTACCGATAGCGGTTATAGCACCAGCCATAATGTATCCATTAGGCAGTATATAAAAGTCACTTTAGTTTTAAAGCCTGTTGAAGCTTGGTACGTATCAGTGTTTCATTGTGATGTAGTTGTTCTCTAGCAGTCTCAGAGAACCAATTTTAGAATCATGGATGGAAACGACATGTATATGGGGTATAACTGGCATATTGCTTCCATTAAGTGTTATTTTTAGGCCCTTTAAATGGTGTCATTTACCACGGCCCGGCAGAGCCCACTCCAGCAAGGGCCGGGTTACGAAAGGTGCGCTGCACATGGAAACGGTTTCCAATCCAAACAGTGTGTGATGGATTACTGATGGAGCAGAGGGGTCACACACACACACACACACTTCCACTAACGTCCAATGGCAACCCACCTACTGTGGTCTCCTCTCCCTCTGGTTCACTTGTACCCTACATGGCTTTTTGAAGTGTTACTGATTGCTATGGGCAGTCTACCTTTTTATACTCTACTGTAAGTGCATTTATATAGGCAAAACAAAACTGCTGAAATTCAGTTGTTGCACATGAGTCATTGTGCTGTTTTGGAGTTGCTGGTGTTAAGAACAAGTTTGTTTGTCAATTGCCTTGACAGTTAAATTCTCTGTACATAGTGCTGAATAGCAGGTCATTATTACAAGGAGACTAGTAAAGTACATAATGCACACATCCATATACTCAATTTAAATGTTACCAACTTAAGTAACATGGACTGTATTTGCTGGTGCTTGGCAAGAACAGATCTTTAGAACAGTCAAATGCCTGCAGATCGTATTAACATGCAAAGAATCCTGTGATACACTCAGGACTGTAGCCTTTTGATATTCAGCAGCCATTTACATGTACATTTACAGGGTACCTTCGATATTGCTCAGTCCATTCACTTTCATGGCCTTTATAAGTGTACATGTACTCGGAGCCCCTACTAACGTGCCAGTCTAACCTGCACCTACTAAGGTGCCAGTCTAACCTGCACCTACTAAGGTGCCAGTCTAACCTGCACCTACTAAGGTGCCAGTCTAACCTGCACCTACTAACGGGTAGGCCGTCATTGTAAATAAGAATTTGTTCTTAACTGACTTGCCTAGTTAAATAAAGGTTAAATAAAAAATGTAAAGTATTTTGGTATCGGGAAGGGCAGGAGGATTGGGGCTGTTATTGGCGAAGAGCATCACTTTATCTCCACTTTTTACTGGTCTAAAACTGAGTAGTTTTGTGTGAGCAGGTTAGCAGCTAGACGTCCAAAAGGTCAAGGGGTCAGGAGCAGATAGACAAAATAAAAGGGTTTGGGCAGGTCGTAACACACCCCTGCCGTCTAGACGTGCATAATGGCTTTAAGGCATCTATGAAATATTGACTGTGGGCCAGAAGGTGTGACCCCAGGACAAACGGGGACGCCTCGTTTAGTTGGAGAAAAGGAAATGCACTCTCTTCCACCTCCAGGTTTGCTCGCTGTCCGCGCCACTTTTAAGGTCGCACTTACAGCTGTTGAGTCTTCCCTCCCTTCCCCCACATTCTGGACAAAACAAGTTCCCAGCTCTCTTCTCAAGTAAACTGGAATCACTCTTTTTATTTTATTTAATTTTTTTCGGAATAGACTCTTCTTTGACACAACAGTACAGAGCCCCACGGTGGCACAAGGGCTTTCTCTAAATGAAAACTGATGAGTAGGATTCCTTTGATATGACCAGACTTAACATTGTCTTTGCTCATTTAGTTGTCAGGGTTGTATAGATTTGAGCATTGTAATCAAGCCCCCATGCGAGAAGCCAAGTAAATTGTCCCCAGTAGAGTAATTTTTCGATATTGACCCCAATAAATCTCACTGTGAAGTGGCAAACCTCTAATTGCATTATCCCTAACCATTTCCCTGGAATATATAGTCAACAGTCTAGACTCTAGACTAATTTCAGTGGTACGTACAGTGCCTTCAGAAAGTATTCAAACCCCTTGACTTATTCCACATTTTGTTGTGTTACAGCCTGAATTCAAAATGGATTCAATTGTTATTTTTTTCTCACTCTTCTGCACACAATACCATATAATAGACATTTTTGCACATTTGTTGAAAATAAATGTAGGTTTGGACACCTACTCGTTCAAGGGTTTTTATTTTTACTATTTTATACATGGTAGAATAGTAGTAAAGACAACTATTAACACATTGAATCATGTAGTAACCAAAAAAGTGTTAATCAAAATATATTTTAGATTCTTCAAAACAGCCACCCTTTGCCTTGATGACAGCTTTTCACCACACTCTTGGCATTCTCTCAACCAGCTTCATGAGAAATGCTTTTCCAACAGTCTTGAAGAAGTTCCCACATACAGTGGGGAGAACAAGTATTTGATACACTGCCGATTTTGCAGGTTTTCCTACTTACAAAGCATGTAGAGGTCTGTAATTTTTTATCATAGGTACACTTAAACTGTGAGAGACGGAATCTAAAACAAAAATCCAGAAAATCACATTGTATGATTTTTAAGTAATTAATTTGCATTTTATTGCATGACATAAGTATTTGATACATCAGAAAAGCAGAACTTAATATTTGGTACAGAAACCTTTGTTTGCAATTACAGAGATCATACGTTTCCTGTAGGTCTTGACCAGGTTTGCACACACTGCAGCAGGGATTTTGGCCCACTCCTCCATACAGACCTTCTCCAGATCCTTCAGGTTTCGGGGCTGTCGCTGGGCAATACAGACTTTCAGCTCCCTCCAAAGATTTTCTATTGGGTTCAGGTCTGGAGACTGGCTAGGCCACTCCAGGACCTTGAGATGCTTCTTACGGAGCCACTCCATAGTTGCCCTGGCTGTGTGTTTCGGGTCGTTTTCATGCTGGAAGACCCAGCCACGACCCATCTTCAATGCTCTTACTGAGGGAAGGAGGTTGTTGGTCAAGATCTCACGATACATGGCCCCATCCATCCTCCCCTCAATACGGTGCAGTCGTCCTGTCCCCTTTGCATGCATGCTTCACGGTTGGGATGGTGTTCTTGGGGTTGTACTCATCCTTCTTCTTCCTCCGAGTTTAGACCAAAAAGCTCTATTTTTGTCTCATCAGACCACATGACCTTCTCCCATTCCTCCTCTGGATCATCCAGATGGTCATTGGCAAACTTCAGACGGGCCTGGACATGCGCTGGCTTGAGCAGGGGGACCTTGCGTGCGCTGCAGGATTTTAATCCATGACGGCGTAGTGTGTTACTAATGGTTTTCTTTGAGACTGTGGTCCCAGCTCTCTTTAGGTCATTGAACAGGTCCTGCCGTGTAGTTCTGGGCTGATCCCTCACCTTCCTCATGATCATTGATGCCCCACGAGGTGAGATCTTGCATGGAGCCCCAGACCGAGGGTGATTGACCGTCATCTTGAACTTCTTCCATTTTCTTATAATTGCGCCAACAGTTGTTGCCTTCTCACCAAGCTGCTTGCCTATTGTCCTGTAGCCCATCCCAGCCTTGTGCAGGTCTACAATTTTATCCCTGTTGTCCTTACACAGCTCTCTGGTCTTGGCCATTGTGGAGATGTTGGAGTCTGTATGATTGAGTGTGTAGACAGGTGTCTTTTATACAGGTAACGAGTTCAAACGGGTGCAGTTAATACAGGTAATGAGTGGAGAACAGGAGGGCTTCTTAAAGAAAAACGAACAGGTCTGTGAGAACCGGAATTCTTACTGGTTGGTAGGTGATCAAATACTTAAGTCATGCAATAAAATGCAAATTAATTACATACAATGTGATTTTCTGGATTTTTGTTTTAGATTCCGTTTCTCACAGTTGAAGTGTACCTATGATAAAAATTACTACATGCTTTGTACATGCTCCCCTGCGCAGTGGTCTAAGGCACGGCATCGCAGTGCTAGCTGTGCCACTAGAGATCCTGGTTCGAATCCAGGCTCTGTCGTAGCCGGCCATGACCGGGAGACCCATGGGGCGGCGCACAATTGGCCCAGCGTTGTCCAGGGTAGGGGAGGGAATGGCCGGCAGAGATGTAGCTCAGTTGGTAGAGCATGGCGTTTGCAATGCCAGGGTTGTGGGTTCGATTCCCATGGGGGGCCAGTATGAAAAAAATAAATAAAATAACTAAGTCGCTCTGGATAAGAGCGTCTGCTAAATGACTAAAATGTAAATGTAAATGTAGAAGTAACTGGGTCTTCCTTTCCTGTGGCAGTCCTCATGAGAGCCAGTTTCATCATAGTGCTTGATGGTTTTTGCGACTGCACTTGAAGAAACGTTCAAAGTTCTTGACATTTTCCGGATTGACTGACCTTCATGTCTTAAAGTAATGATGGACTGTCGTTTCTCTTTGCTTATTTGAGCTGTTCTTGCCATAATATGGACTTAGTCTTTTACCAAATAGGGCTATCTTCTGTATACCCCCCCTACCTTGTCACAACACAACTGATTGGCTCAAAGGCATTAAGAAGGAATGAAATTCAGTAACACTTCCAAAAGGCACACCTGTTAATTGAAATGCATTCCAGGTGATGACCTCATGAAGCTGGTTGAGAGAATGCCAATAGTGTGCCAAGCTGTCATCAAGGCAAACTTTGAAGAATCTCATCGCAAATATATTTTGATTTGTTTAACACTTTTTTTGGTTACTACATGATTCCATATGTGTTATTTCATAGTTTTGATGTCTTCACTATTATTCTACAATGTAGAAAATAGTAAAAATAAAGAAAAACCCTTGAATGAGTAGGTGTGTCCAAACTTTTGTTAGAATCACCTTTGGCAGCGATTTACAGCTGTGAGTCTTTCTGGGTAAGTCTCTAAAGGCATTCCACACCTGGATTGTACAATACTTGTACGCTATTCTTTTCAAAATTCTTCAAGCTATGTGAAGTTGGTTGTTGATCATTGCTAGACAGCCATTTTCAAGTCTTGCAATTTTTTTTTTTTTTTTTTTTTGCCTCATGGTGAAATCCCTGAGCAGTTTCCTTCCTCTCCGGCAACTGAGTTAGGAAGGACGCCTGTATCTTTGTAGTGACTGGGTGTATTGATACACCACCCAAAGTGTAATTAATAGCTTCACCATGCTCAAAGGGATATTCAATGTCTGCTTTTTTATTTTTACCCATTACCAATAGGTGCCCTTCTTTTACAAGGCATTGGAAAACCTCCCTGGTCTTTGTGTTTGAATCAGTTTGAAATTCACTGCTCAACTGAGGGACCTTACAGATAATTGTATGTGTGGGGTACAGCGATGAGGTAGTCATTCAAAAATCATGTTAAACACTTATTGCACACAGTAAGTCCATGCAACTTATGTGACATTTTAAGCACATTTTTACTCCTGAATTTTAGGCTTGCCGTAACAAAGGGGTTGAATACTTATTGACTCGACATTTCAGCTTTTCATTTTTCATTAATTAGTAAAAATGTATAAAAACATAATTCCACTTTGACATTGTGGGGTTATTGTGTGTAGGCCAGTGACACACATCTTAATTTAATCCATTTTAAGTTCATGCTGTAACACAACAAGATGTGGAAAAAGTTCTGAAGGCACTGTGTATATACAAAAGGCATTGAGGTCAAGAAGTAACTTTTAGGCCCCTACCATCTGCTCTGGATCCAGGGAGTTACTATTAGCCAAGCTTTTTGACCCACGTTGTTGCTAATCGCCAGCGTGTCAGACTAATTAGGTGTTTGCCCCGTCGTGTCCACTGACCCTGAAGTGGGATTTCTCCATTCATCTTCCCTCTTGCCAGTGCATTAGTTAGGGCTGAACTAACCTTTCATTATTTACAAAGCTTATGTAATGTTGTATGTAATCCAAATGGTTTAAGATGTTTCACTAACTATCAATAAAATGTTCAACTATCCACTAAACCTAAAGGTAGCTCAAAACTGAACTCAAGCAAGTTGTTGCAAATCAAGAGTCAAAATTGATAGACCATCTAGAGGAGCCTATCATCAAGTTATCTAAATACATTGAGAACTAATCTTTGGCTTGTTGTGTTTTTTTCCACAGGACGGCTCCAAAGGAACTGGCGCCCTCCTCACTACCACCACCACCAACAGTAGTAGCTCATCCAAGCTGCACAAACCCTCCAAGGACCACAAGGACAAGCCTTCGAAAGAGACCAAAAGTGCCTTCAGAGACTGTGGCAGGGAACCCAGCAAAGCCTCCAAAGATTTCTCCAAGAAACCCAAAGAGAACCAGCCTCTTCTTCGGGACAACCCCCCCATCCCCAAGATGGGCTTCAAGGAGCCCAAGGCCATGTCCAAGGAGCACCGGCAGGACGGGAGCTACTCGCACGGGGCCGGGTCTGGGGCGGGGACTAACAAACGACTGTCCATCACTGACTGCGAGGACCACGTGACCAAAAAGCGCAAGAAAAGCTTCTCGGAATTGTCATTAAAACCATCAGGGGGCTCGTCCCTGTCGCACGCCCAGTCCCACCACTCGGATAAGAAACTGCTGAAGGACAAATCCCAGGTGCAGCCCGCTAAACTGCGGGTGGACGGCCGCGAGGTGCTCGGGGAGCGCAGAAAGGCGTCGACGCTGCCGCCGTTCCCGGAGCTGATGGACGCCAACTACTCTGACATGGAGGACAATATGTCCACCAAATCAGACGTGAGTGAAGCCTTTGTGTACTTCGTGTTTTTGTTGGTTGGTGCGGTCTGGCTTGACCACATTGGAAGCAAGTGTTGAATTATACTTTAATGTCTTCTGGGCTCTACTTTGTAGCTCCTACAATTATTTTAGTTTAAAAAAGGATTGATTTCAGGGATGAGTAATTCCAGTCCTCGGTGGCCAGTGTCTGATGGTTTTCATCCCTTCCTTCTAATCAGTGAGTGGTGAAGACCAGATGTAGATCTCGGAAACCAGGTGTACTTTTTGAGCAATCAATGACATTAATGGATCGATGAATTGTTCCATTGCTTTCTGCTACTGTTACGGCTTCACATTCAGGAACAACAAGCAATCGCTTTTACACATTACCAGATCAGCATGCCCATAGAGATTACTGGACTGTTTACTATTAGGAAGGAGAATAGAGGTTCTGCCAGGTGCAGGAGGAGGCTTATTGAATCCTCTGGTTTTAAGAGGGAGCCTGTTCTGTTGGTCAGTCTCATCCTCCGCATGCCCAGGCTGTAAACATCAAATGACGGAGTCCAAGGGAATCCCGGTAATGGAGGTCTGGGCAGAAGGGGGGGGGGGGGGGGGTAAGGGGGTGGCCAATAAACATGGTGGGTGTTCAGCTGCAGATGGGCTGCTTTTGTTTGGATGATGGTAACAGGAATTGGATACCTCCTAAACCACCACCACCCCATCTCCATGAAGTTCCCACCCAGTGCTCCATTTTGACAAAGCCCAAAAAGCTGCCCATGCCAAGCGGCCATAATGTTTGCAGGTTTAGAATGTTGTTCTACAGGATGCAGTCGCGTAACTGCTGACAATTTGCTACTCTACGCATAAATTTAAAGATCTACAGTCTAGTTCTTTTTTTAAGCGTCATGTTGCTGATGAAGATGACATTTTGAAAATGTATGCTTTTAAATGCCAGGATGTCATACTCATTTCGGCTTTTCATCTAGTAGAAATCGCTGCACACAATTGAGCTGATAATCAGCTGAGGGACTCGCCGTTCCAAAAATGAACAAATGGTGGGAATCAACGCAATTGTGCATTTAGATGACACATTCTCAGTAGGATGAGACTAGTATGCTGATATTTGTTGTTTACTGCATTAGTTTTTATATAACAGTATGTTCTAAATAGTATGTAGTATGATTAGTACACAGTATGCAGTTTAAGTAAGTAGTAGACAAGCCAGATTTCGGACACGACTCCTGCCTCTTATTTAAACCTTGAGATAAATCAGTAGGTCTTTCAGAGGGTTGCCAGCTCCTCACGCGTTCAGTTTGAAACTCAACACAAAGCGGGGACTGTTTTATTAGCAGAAAAGCAAGCTGGGTTTTACAACACCCAAGGAGAATGGGAAAAGGACGCCATGAATAGCCAAGAGTTCCTCTTTTGCCTTATAGAAAGAAGGAAAAAGGGGGTAAACATTCTGCATTTATGGCAGAAAGCATCTCATTGTCTTTCTCTGTTTGCTTTCAACTGTTCTCTTTCATGCCCAGGCGTGTTCACCGGCCCCACTCCAAATACATAACACACACACACAGGCGCTAATCTCCCTTAGCCATTACCCTGCCAGAACCAGCAGAGGCATTGCAACCTAAAGCCAAATGTGTCCATGGGGTGGTGTTGGTGGGGGATGAAGGAGTTGTGTGTGTGTGTGTGTGTGTGTGATGGTGGTGGGGATTTACCCTACAGTACTGGTCTTAAATCGGACGTGGGGTGGGTGCAGGGCTAGTGGAGACAAATGCCAGGTGCTCAGTGCTCTCCACGGGCTGCCGTGACGACCCTGGTGGCCCAATCCTGGCTAGCCCTACTCACGCCTAATGTGAGCCTTCATTTGATCTGGGCTTCTGCCATGCTGTGTAGGCCTGGGGAAAACAAGGAACCACCAAAGTGGAGGAAAGAGGGAGGGAGTAGTAGCAAGATCTATACGAAATGTGTAGGAAGTGTACACTTCACATGTTCCATGCTGTCCTGATCCTTTTTCAGAGAAACAGTGGTAGTTTGCGGCTGGTTTTGTGTTTGTGGAGTGCTACACGTCCGCAAGTTAAAAGTAGTTTGTGTTAGATTGACCTACTACACGACCAAACTGAAAGCGCACAGCACCTTAATTCACATCGAAACTACCTTGTTTGCTCAACCTCCTGCTGAATCGAGAGCAAATTAACTGACGTTTTGGCCAAGTCCAGCGACGTTCATCTTGTGCCTGTCTCGCACTTTGGGACCCTCTGAAAGAGAAGAGAGGGCAGATTGATTGGAGCAAACTAATACTAAAGTCCTGTTTATTGTCCTTTAAGAGGGCTGCTTTGGTGGCTTTGAGCAAGGCAAGACAAAAGCCCCTAAAGCAGAGTGGCGGTGAGATTTACGACGCACTGAAGAAGCCTGGACCCATAAACCAATAGGACCAGCTGCATGTTTGTTGTCTAAGTTGACGGCCATTGAAGTTTCCCTGCCTTTTGACCTCTCTGTCTTTGGCTCTCTGTCTGTGTGTGTCTGTACCTAGAAAGGAATGGAGGTTTCTTGGGGGCAATCTACTGTCTATTGGGAGGCTGCTGCACAGGTAAAGAAACATGCTGCAGTGGATATAACTGCACCATCTGGGGCATATTTAACACATTTCACCTATGGATTTTATTACGTAGGTAATTGCAAATAACTTTGTCACATTAGCAATTTACCGTTGCTGCAGTACAGGCATTTTGAAAAGTAACTTTTGAACCAACACAGGATTCCTGGTTTAAGTACAAATCATGTTTATGCAAAAGAAACCACACATGAAACTGGACATCTGAGATGTGGTGATCTTACTCAATTTACTCGGCCTCTGTCAGTACCAGGGTCTTTGACTCCCGCATACTCTCTGGATGACCTCAAATGATTCTGAATGCAGGCAAATCTTTGGCCCTCTTAATTGATTAAATCTTTGGATCTGAGAAACTGTAACAAGGGTATATGGTTTCAGAGCCTGGGGTTGGGGGCTCTCTTTGGCAGCACGGTTGGTAGATTGAGAGGCTATATCTTCATAGCCAGAGAAGTGGTTGTCTGGCCCGTGATTTGTGGCCACTCGCACGCCTCTAGAATTTGACTGGAATTCCATCTCGTGTTCCCCTTGCTCTCCTGTGTAGTTTGATGCATTACAGAGGGATGGTTTTCCCAGGGCTGGACCGTACTAAGCAAATCAGCCGCTTTGAATGGCTGTTTTGGGTTAGGCCTTAGCCTCTGCAGACACACACAGACGGGTAGACAGACACACACACAGACGGGTAGACAGACACACACATCCTGGAAGTGGCATGTCATAGAGGGGAAGGAGTACATTTATCTTTACTTTGTGTGGTGTCTCAAGGCCGCAGATCAGACAAAAAGGAAATGATCTGTCATTTAACTTCAAAGTGCCCTTCCCATCGGTCTTCCACTTGGATGAGGTTTAAATCACCCAGGCACACAACCATGTGGACACACACACACACACACACACACACACACACACACACACACACACACAGGTTGCATCACACAATTGCCTATTTCTTCTGCTGGATACTGTATGTAGCCATCGTTTTTATTTTATTCATGGCAGGTTGTACTCTTTAGTCCAGGGATGCACAGCTGTGGCCCTGCACCCCTGCTGGTTTTAATTTCTCCCTGGCTCTTACTTAGTCAACAAATGGTACTGATTGGCTGGAGATTGCACAAACGACTATGGTACTTAGACCTCTTGGTGCTGGAGAATTGGAAAAAGTATTGGTCTTAGTCATTGGCTCTTTCTCCCTACAAAACAGCATTGGCATCGTCCCAAAAAAACAAAAAAAATTGTCAAATTCAAAATGCAGATTTGACCTGCTTCTCGGGAACTTGGTTGTGAGGAAATTAATTTGCTTTGTTTTGCTCCTGTCCGAGAGGGCGTTGGATTCTTTACTCTGACACGCACAACCATGAATGTAAGACCCGACAAACGGCAATTAATTCATTTTTCTGGACGTTTCCCTGCTTATTTCCATTCAAATATTGTTCAAATATAACACTGACAAATTACCGTTGCTATGCTGTTTCACCTAATTATTTTTACAATGGTAGTGAGAATTTAAGCTGTTTGGTTCTGTGTTTCATGATCAGGAAGTGACAAGTCGCTGGTTTTTCTTGCATCTTTTTGTCAGCTGTTGCTCCACACGGCAGCTGCCTTTGTCAGTTTTGATTGAAGTCGCTTTAAAAAGTAATGGACCGTTTTACAGCGCAGAGGCTGCTTTGCCATTACTCAAGGCAGGGTGACGAGTAAGGGATGGGCTTCCGTAATCTACAGCCCGCTCTCTCCTCTCGCTCTTCCTATCTCTCGCTCTGTCCTATCTCTCGCTCTCTATCCTCTCTCTCGCTCTCTATCCTCTCTCGCTCTCTATCCTCTCTCGCTCTCTGTCCTCCTCGCTCGCTCGCTCTCTGTCCTCTCGCTCGCTCGCTCTCTGTCCTTCTCGCTCGCTCTCTGTCCTCTCGCTCGCTCTCTGTCCTCTCGCTCGCTCTCTGTCCTCTCGCTCGCTCTCTGTCCTCTCGCTCGCTCTCTGTCCTCTCGCTCGCTCTCTTGTCCTCTCGCTCTCTCTGTCCTCTCGTCTCTGTCCTCTCGCTCTCTGTTCTCTCTCTCTTGTCTCTGCTCTCTCTGTTCTCTCTCTCTCTGTCCTTCCTCTCTCGCTCTCTGTCCTTCCTCTCTCGTTCTCTGTCCTTCCTCTCTCGCTCTCTGTCCTTCCTCTCTCGCTCTCTGTCCTTCCTCTCTCGCTCTCTGTCCTTCCTCTCTCGCTCTCTGTCCTTCCTCTCTCGCTCTCTGTCCTTCCTCTCTCTCGCTCTCTGTCCTTCCTCTCTCTCGCTCTCTGTCCTTCCTCTCTCTCGCTCGCTGTCCTTCCTCTCTCTCGCTCTCTGTCCTTCCTCTCTCTCGCTCTCTGTCCTTCCTCTCTCTCGCTCTCTGTCCTTCCTCTCTCTCGCTCTCTGTCCTTCCTCTCTCTCGCTCTCTGTCCTTCCTCTCTCTCGCTCTCTCTCTGTCCTCTCTCTCGCTCTCTCTCTGTCCTCTCTCTCTCGCTCTCTGTCCTCTTACGCCTCGCTCGCTTACGCCCCACTCTCTCTCCTTCCCCCTGCTCTCTCCTTCCCTCTCTCTCTTACACCCCTCTCTCTGGGACAGAGCACAAAGACCAGACAGGATGATTTTAACGTTGCTCTCTTCTTTTTTACTAGTTTTTACAAGTGTCTAGTTTTTGGCCGGACAACCAAAGGCAGAGAGAAAAGCCTCTTGATTTACAACAGAGGCCTCTGACCATACATTTAATGTGGATGAGACACCCAGACGGACAACAGGCTGTAAAACGCTCCAGAAACAAAGGGAGCGAGAAAACATCAAAGATTCTCGCATGACTCCCCGGGACCACACAGGGGACACTTGGCAGCTTCGATACTCAGCCCAGATCTTGGTAGAAGTGAGGGGGGGAGGGGGTTGTTGTGTGTGTGTGTGTGTGTGTGTGTGGTAATAGAAATGTGTTGATGCTTCCACAATTGGAATGGAGATGGTAGGCAGCCTTGCTGCACACCTCACAGGCTAGACAGGAAATGGAAGCCCCGCCATATCAGGCGTGGATCCACCACCTGGAAAACCTCCAATCCAATGAATGACTTCCATTTGTTTCCTCTGGGAAGTAGTTTTGCCTCCATTCAGGCTCCATTCAGTTTTTAAATCCACCGTTTCTTTGTTGCAGCTGGTGTGTGTGTGTGTATATAAGACTGCCGTATCGAGCCCTTATCAGCTGAAAACATTTTGCACCAGCCCTGTCCTGGCTGTAAATCACTGCTTTGTGCTGCCTTGGCTTGGTTCTTTCAAGGGGTCATCTGAGAGGAATGTAAACAAATTAATTCAGATTAACTTTAATGGCTCCTTCAAATTTCCTTTTGGGCTGCCCTCCACAGAGGATTAACTTAATGGTTAACTTGCAGATTTTTTCTCTCGTTTTCTCCTGAAAGGATCCATCAGCTTTAGCCCCTTTTGCGCTGACTTAAAATGGGTGTCAAAATGTACAACTAATTGTTGTAGAGCAACTTGGATATAAAAGTTGGTGTAATCGGTGAACTTCTGGTGACGTTTGAGTGCAGTATGTGGGTACATTTATTCAATGCACACATCTTCCTCCCTGTACTAAAATAAGTGTCAGGGATATGACAAGGTGTGATCTTATGATGTCCTCTATAAGTGGTTCTGAAACTGTAGGGGGGGGTCAAGTCAAAAGTCCTCCTTCCCAGGGGAGATCAGTGATCAATATATTTTTCACAGTTTTTAATATTTGAATTGGTATGTATGAAATTGGGGCAGCATGATGGCTCTGAATAGGACCACATTTACTCTGATGGACAACGGTCTGACTCAACACAGACAACATGAGCAACTGTGTGAACGTAATGTGTGGTTGTGTATGCGGGATCTCAATTGGGGTTTTCTAGACTGTACCTGGCTGGCCCCAGAAATGTGTTGCCTTTTGCATGTGGGAATTTAACAGAATCTCCTTTTATTGTGAGTGTGCTGCACAGTCTACCGTTTGTTGGCTGCCTTCCTGCCCAACTGTGTTTGTGAGGTGTGAATACCACTCTCAGCCTAAAGCTATGGACGGTAGAGAGAAGATAATGGGACTAACTTTATCTCCAATCACGTCACGTTGCTACGTGATGCGCTCTCTCTCTCTCTCTCTCTCTCTCTCTCACTCCACCATGGCCCTACACCTTTGTGGTAATTGTATGCTCCCCTAACTGGCCTCATGAGCTGCTGACAGATGCTATCCTCCCTTAGTGTTTTGTGCCTACTGTGTTTACACCCTAAGCAAAGGGGCATTGTTCCCTCTGCGGTCGCTGGTGTTTGTTCCCTCTGCGGTCGCTGGTGTTTGTTCCCTCTGCGGTCGCTGGTGTTTGTTCCCTCTGCGGTCGCTGGTGTTTGTTCCCTCTGCGGTCGCTGGTGTTTGTTCCCTCTGCGGTCGCTGGTGTTTGTTCCCTCTGCGGTCGCTGGTGTTTGTTCCCTCTGCGGTCGCTGGTGTTTGTTCCCTCTGCGGTCGCTGGTGTTTGTTCCCTCTGCGGTCGCTGGTGTTTGTTCCCTCTGCGGTCGCTGGTGTTTGTTCCCTCTGCGGTCGCTGGTGTTTGTTCCCTCTGCGGTCGCTGGTGTTTGTTAATTTACCATGTAGAATATCTCTGCTAGTTTCTGGGTCTCTTATCGCTCTCCCTCTCTCCTTTTCCCAGTCAGGGCAGCCCAGTCCAGCTAGCTCCAGCTCCAGCTCCAGTTCAGGCTTTGCAGCCAGCCACAAACGGCAAGGTAACGCCAGAAACTAAGCATACACACTTTTCTCCAGATCACCCAGAAATAACTATACTTTTTGGGGGATTGGCCACGCCAAAGGGGGTATTACATGTTGAATCACTTCCACTCACTTCTATGCTTGTGTTTTTGTTCCATGGACACAGTGGCCGAGTTCGTCCGCAGGAAGGTAGGGGCCGTCCCGGGCACAGCCCACACAGGTATACTCACACGCACCTGACTACAGTCCTTGGATGGAATCACAAGACTAAGCATGAGTTTACAGTGAAATGTGTATATAAAGTTGTGTGCTCCTCTTCACTGATGTTCTATCTCACAGTGTTAGGTCCCCTTCGTTCGATAATCCATGACCTGCAGTCGGACGACAACGAGGATGATTCAGAGGATGAAGACGACAACGACATGGACTCTGACCTGGAGCGACCGCTGCACACGCACATGACACACCGCCACCGCCGGTAGGTAGCGCCCTCCCATGGTCACGCACATGACACACCGCCACCGCCGGTAGGTAGCGCCCTCCCATGGTCACGCACATGACACACCGCCACCGCCGGTAGGTAGCTCCCTCCCATGGTCGTGTTCAGTAGGGCTGTAATGAACTGGCAACTCAGGTACCACCTCCTATCGTTGTGCCCTTGAGCAAGGCTCTTTATCTCAAAGATAGTTTCAGGGACACTGCTCTGACCTTGTACTGCTCCTAGGTGTGTGTGGGGGGGTTGTACGATTGGATGAAAAACAACCTGACTAATTTCTATTATGAATAATAGTTGTATTGTATTCCAATTCTTGTCATCCTCTTTGTCTGAAGGGTCAGCTTGAGTGACGGCAGTGAGAGCGAGAACAGCTCAGCCCCCTCTCCCCACTCTCGACACGAGCCCCCGCCTTTACTAAAGACCAGTAATAATCAGGTAAGACAAGGTCAAATGATAAGCAGTTGTCAGAGGATTATTTCTTACATCTTATCAGTAAAATCAACTGGTATCCCTGATGTTCAATATTTTCACATCCTAGAGTAGCCAAACGATATTACCCAACCACAATTAGTCCAACGGAATTGACCAAATATGTGCCCCCCCCCCCCCCCCCTTATGTAAATATATTTATGTAAATACTGTATTAGCATAAACACGTTGGGGGGAGGAAACCTTTAGTTTGCCATTTTGCTCCTCATGAAATTGAACACGGCTGTTATTGTTATCTGATGCTGTCTTATTAGCATCCTGTAATTCCCACAATGCATTTCCCTCATACGCCAACCACACTGCTACGTAAATAATGACTGTTGTGTGAACAAATCAGCGGTTTTTTCCAGTGGGCACATATGGTAATTCCTTATCTGGGTTGTATTCCCAAGGAACAAAACGGAAGCAAACAGGTTGAAACTAGAATGGGCCTTCTTGAACTTGTCCAATAAGAAACGCTTGTTTTTCCCATTGCGAAACCTTTTGCTACATTGTGTACTAATGAATACAACCCTGATGTCTCACAGATACTGGAGGTGAAGCAAACGAAGCAGGATAAGAATAAAAACATTGACTGTGACAAGGTGAGTAGCTTCCTTGCGGTTGGGTTTAAAGTAGATTAGGTCATACCAGTGGCGTTACATTGGGTGTAGTCAGGACATTGGGTGTAGTCAGGGAATTGGTTGTAGTCTTACACTGAAGAAGTCTTTACATTCACCAAGGCTCTTGCAAATGGATAGGAGACCGAGACACTCTTCCTTGGCCATCCAACCCGTTACTCTCTTTGTCATAGTCCCAGATGGTGTGACTAGGTAACAGGCCTGGGTCAAATACATACTTGAAGGTTTGCTTGATTTAGCTAGAGTTTGCACTTTTGGGACTATTCAATTGGTGTATCTCACCCACTCAGGCTTACCTGGATGAGCTGGTGGAGCTACACAGACGACTGATGACACTGAGAGAGAGGCACATACTACAACAGGTGAGGTCTAATAGTGTGTAGTACATGTGTTCTCAGAAAACCACCTGTTAGTTTACAGTTCATGTTGGCATAGAAGATGTTGCTTGCTAGCGTGGCTTTGTTTGGGCTTGTATGTCAAACAACTTCATACTGTATGTTACTCGGTACATTACAGTCGAGGACTTAATCTATGTGTGTCTGGCAATGATAGATTATTTGGTTAACCTTTTTTCCACTCCGTCTAAGAGCAAACGTCCTCTTGTTTATCTTCACAAGGCCTATCATATGACCGCATTAATGGAGATTCCCAGACGCAGTTGCCAAGGAGTGGCCTTGCTCTTCCTCGCTCTCCTAATGAAAAGTTTTTGGCTCCGAGCATCGGTGGAAAAATTCATCCCCAAACAACATCAGCGAGTGGAGCGCTAACTTGTGGCGTAATCAAGCTAATCCTCGGAGCGTTTGGAGAGTTTGGAGCATTGTAGCGGCGTTCCACGTCCTCAGAAAACGAGACATTGAAATGATTAACTTTCCAACCTCCCAATGCTATTTTTCCTCCCCAGTCTCTCTGTTTGGGAAAACCGCAAATTAAAAAATGGCCTTATGGCCTTATGTCATTGTGGAGTCTTTTTAAAGTAGATTGTCCGCCCATGGTAGATTTGAGTTTTTTTTGTCATTGTGATGAAAACCAAAAATGGGGACTGTGTTTTATATCCAATAGAAATTAATCTGTCATTAACGGCAAATGGAAAATGGAAGTATCAGCCAAAGTGCTGTCCTGCATGAACAAAACCAGGTCTGAAAATCTTGGTGTGGTTCCATCTCCCCAGATACAAGCGGGGGTGGGGAGGGCAGGGCAGGGGGTTGTTGCGACTTGACTTGCAAGCATCTATCTGCCGTGTCATAACAATGGGTGGAGTCTCCCTGCACTCCTGAATCCGGCCTGCGGTCGGAGGGGGGAGGAGAAATGTGTTCAGTTGCTTCATCAACACAGACACACTGGAGTGCCCGTAATTACCACGAGAAAGATGCTTGCACACACACACCCCTATCGGAGGAGAACTGGAACCAATAAGACACCAGCCAAGGAAAAAGCATCTTTCCCATTAGGGTCTCTCCCTCTCTGATACAGGGTTCCGCATGCAAGGGATGGGATGGAGTGAATTAGGGGGGTCCCCATACCAAATTCAACTGACACTAGCCCACCCACCGCTCAACGACGCTTCCCACAAATGTGTTTTTAATAAGTATTGTATTGTGTGCGGTCCAACATTGTCTATGACTAGGCTGCTCTCTGACACTGTACTGCACATACAAGGTGGAAACTCAGCTGCTGGTCAATACAGTTCCATATCAGCTGCTTAGATATACTAGATTATCTAAGCAACATTCCTCTTTTGTTTTAGGAAGAGGAGGACATGCATGGAATTTAATTGGTCTGTTTATGTTGAATGTGGAAGATTCAACATAAAGAAATGTGTACACTTTCTCCATTCTTGCTGGGATTTGGGTTTACATACTGTAGTATGAGTGTTAACTGACAGCTTTTCTTTCTGTGCCTTCTCTTGCCTCACAGATCGTGAACCTCATCGAGGAGACTGGACACTTCCACATCACAAACACAACTTTTGACTTTGACCTCTGTTCCCTGGACAAAACTACGGTACGAAAGCTCCAGAGTTACCTGGAAACGTCTGGAACGTCATGAGGTCTGGGAGCAGCTAGCTGCCACAAGGAAGAACGTTGGAAGAACTTTGGAATCTTCCTCTTATTTTTTCTTTTTTTTAACTTGAACTTTCGTGGCGTTGCAAAAAAGACTACCGGCCTGGCCCTGCCCTGGGTCCTTGTGCCTGGCGGTTATGGTCGCGCCACTCTACTCGTTGGAACCTGGCTCTCCACACGACCAGGGTAGCCCGCGAGCGACACAAACCTGAACGGCGTGCCACGTCACCCTGGAGATGAGTCCTGTCGACCAGGAATATCACCCAGAAAGCCTTGAAAGAATTCCACAGTTGACAAAAAAACCGGGGAAAGAAACCGAGACCTTGCTCTTAAAACGAATGTGCATATTATTACCATGTATGTGCGTAGAATGTTGTTCTTTGTGGCGAATGATGCATGTTCAACACTGCCTTAACACATCTGTCAGTCTTTATTTATTGAGTTTGAGTTTCAGGTGTCCGTGTTAATAGTAGCAAAAGAGAATTAGTCTTGTGCAAGCACTTCATAATGCATCTCTCTGGCTCTGGAAGGACGGTGGAGCAGTGCATTGTCATCACAACGTTGAGATTTCAATTATCTTATTTGACGGATGAGTTGAATGGCAATCAAACGTCGCTCTATATGAGGAATTCTGCCCTCTCAAACGATATGTTATCAGTACCCAATGGTACAAGCTGAAGACCAATCATGGACTCAAATTGTTGCAATTAATACAATTGTATATTCCATTATTGGTACCAAAACTTGAATTGATGTATTGGATGATGACGAGGCAAATTTCTGAAGTGTGCTGCATGTCATTTTTACAAGCTCTCACTTGTATTCTGCAGCTCTTGCTGTCTACAAGTTGAAACCAAGTGTTTTTGACCAATCTATTGTCAGCAGGCCTGTGCTAAAAAGGAACCATTTTGAGTCCTGGAATTTTGATGGAAGAAATGTACTCTTGCGTATCTAAGACATTGAATCTTATTTATTTCACGGGGACCTCGGTTGCCAAATCAAAGTTGTGCATTAGAATTGAGAAAAAATCAAACTGAGAAAAATAAAGTTTTTGTTTAACTTGTTATGGAGGACATTTTCCTTTTTGCTATTATGAGGAATTAAAGTTGATTTGGTTTAGTCTGCCGAGCGACGCCTCAATGGGAATACCAGTGGTCGTAGCTACTCACAGGGCCACACAAAGGTAGAATGTTGTTTTGCTTGACCCATGTCTGCCTTAAGAGTTCTTTTGTATTCTTAGGACATACAATAAACATTTGGTATTTTGTACAGATGAGGACATGTGCAACCTGTGGTGAAATGAGTTATTGGCACTGTGTGATTTTTAAAATGTGTTGTCTTTTTGTATGTTGTTGCGATGTCTTATTGTTGATTGACTCGCATTTTGTCCAAATTTCTCCAACTGAATTTCTAAGCCCAAAGATGTTTTGGTTGGGATATCATGATGTAGTGTTTATATTTGTATATAAACTGTATATGTGATGATAATGTCATCTTTCATTTTTTGGGGAATGTTTGAAAGTATAGAAAGTGTTCACTACCATAGTATAATATCATAACAAATGTGTTTTATTCAAAGCTATAACTGGCTTCTAGTGCATTCACAACATGCCGCTACTTATTTCCAACCAGTTCATTTCATCAATATACTTAACTTTCTTAGAGAAAGTAATACAGTTCAAATGGCAAAGACTAGATGACCCCACTAACACTTACCTAGTTACATGTTGCTTTAATTTGGAAGACAAACAAGACTACTTAAGGGATATCCTGTAAATATGAACACTTCCATTTGGTGAGAAGGGGGTGCTAGGAATAGACATAAACACCAACCTTTTCAAAGGGCCATGGAATGGGTAAAATGTTAGAGAACATTCAGATCGGACTATATTGTGCAGAACAGATATGATTCTCGGTCCTCAAGAATAGGGATTAATTTCATTCCTATCTGCAACATTCTGAATGTTTTGCTCTACTGAATACACCCGTTATCCTCTATCTAGCAGTCATCTCCATCCGTCTCCTGATTATTAACTATTAAGATGTACGGGGTGACATGAGGTTGGTTACTAGTGCAATTTGCAGTCTTGTTGGGTTGAATGTGGACATTATTTTCTCACTCTGCTGTTAGTTCTACCGGATCAGACCCATTTTATTTTTTTTATTTTTTATTTCACCTTTATTTAACCAGGTAAGCCAGTTGAGAACAGGTTCTCATTTACAACTGCGACCTGGCCAAGATAAAGCAAAGTAGTGCAATAAAAACAACACAGAGTTACATATGGGGTAAAAAACATAAAGTCAGAAATACAACAGAAAATATATATACAGTGTGTGCAAATGTAGCAAGTTATGGAGGTAAGGCAATAAATAGGCTATAGTGCAGAATAATTACAATAGTATTAACACTGGAATGATAGATGTGCAAGAGATTATGTGCAAATAGAGATACTGGGGTGCAAAAGAGCAAAATAAATAACAATATAGGGATGAGGTAGTTGAGTGGGCTAATTTCAGATGGGCTGTGTACAGGTGCAGTGATTGGTAAGGTGCTCTGACAACTGATGCTTAAAGTTATTGAGGGAGATAAGAGTCTCCAGCTTCAGAGATTTTTGCAATTCGTTCCAGTCATTGGCAGCAGAGAACTGGAAGGAATGGCGGCCAAAGGAGGTGTTGGCTTTGGGAATGACCAGTGAGATATACCTGCTGGAGCGCAGACTACGGGTGGGTGCTGCTATGGTGACCAATGAGCTAAGATAAGGCGGGGATTTGCCTAGCAGTGATTTATAGATGGCCTGGAGCCAGTGGGTTTGACGACGAACATGTAGTGAGGACCAGCCAACAAGAGCGTACAGGTCACAGTGGTGGGTAGTGTATGGGGCTTTGGAGACAAAACGGATGGCACTGTGATAGACTACATCCAATTTGCTGAGTAGAGTGTTGGAGGCTATTTTGTAAATGACATCGCCGAAGTCAAGGATCGGTAGGATAGTCAGTTTTACGATGGCATGTTTGGCAGCATGAGTGAAGGAGGCTTTGTTGCGAAATAGGAAGCCGATTCTAGATTTAACTTTGGATTGGAGATTCTTTATGTGAGTCTGGAAGTTGAGTTTACAGTCTAACCAGACACCTAGGTATTTGTAGTTGTCCACATACTCTAGGTCAGACCCGTCGAGAGTGGTGATTCTAGTCGGGTGGGCGGGTGCCAGCAGCGTTCGATTGAAAAGCATGCATTTAGTTTTACTAGTGTTTAAGAGCAGTTGGAGGCTACTGAAGGATTGTTGTATGGCATTGAAGCTCGTTTGGAGGTTTGTTAACACAGTGTCCAATGAAGGGCCAGATGTATACAAAATGGTGTCGTCTGCGTAGAGGTGGATCTGAGAGTCACCAGCAGCAAGAGCGACATCATTGATATACACGGAGAAAAGTGTCGGCCCAAGAATTGAACCCTGTGGCACCCCCATAGAGACTGCCATAGGTCCAGACAACAGGCCCTCCGATTTGACACACTGAACTCTATCTGAGAAGTAGTTGGTGAACCAGGCGAGGCAGTCATTTGAGAAACCAAGGCTATTTAGTCTGCCAATAAGAATGCGGTGGTTGACAGAGTCGAAAGCCTTGGCCAGGTCGATGAAGACGGCTGCACAGTACTGTCTATTATCAATCGCGGTTATAATATCGTTTAGGACCTTGAGCGTGGCTGAAGTGCACCCGTGACCAGCTCGGAAACCGGATTGCATAGCGGAGAAGGTACGGTGGTATTCGAAATGGTCGATGATCTGTTTGTTAACTTGGCTTTCGAATACTTTCGAAAGGCAGGGCAGGATGGATATAGGTCTGTAGCAGTTTTGATCTAGAGTGTCACCCCCTTTGAAGAGGGGGATGACCGCGGCAGCTTTCCAATCTCTGGGGATCTCAGACGTTATGAAAGAGAGGTTGAACAGACTAGTAATAGGGGTTGCGACAATTTCGGCGGCTAGTTTTAGAAAGAAAGGGTCCAGATTGTCTAGCCCAGCTGATTTGTAGGGGTCCAGATTTTGCAGCGCTTTCAAAACATCAGCTGTCTGAATTTCTCAGACACCGTGCAGAGTTGCAATTCCAAATGCACACTTGTAATTTCTTTCTGTGAGGACATTGGTTTTGTGTGATCCAAGGTTTTGCATTTGCAAGGTTTCATTATAGTCACTGAATTCCAAGGACAACTTGGTAATTTGATAACCCTAGTTGTCTTCAACTAGCCACTGAATATACATGTCACTATTCTTTTAAACCAAGTGTAGATTTCTCAGTGGGTGTTAAATCCCAGTGATTCAGGGTGTTTTTTTAAATCCTGAATCTTGGAGACAAAGTAAAAGTAAGTAGGTAGCCTTGTCTGAGCCAGAATGGCCCATAGTTCAGAACTCCCTCTCCTGTTGCTGTAGTCTACAAGTACACCCCCTTGACAGGACACTAGTCTATCGCGGAGACAAAAAAAGCAATTGTAAAAGGGGAAAAGTTCACAACCAAAGTTTATTGATAACACAGGTCTCGGGTCAGAATGTCGATCCCCTCTTCAATAAGCCGACAGGAATTGTGTAGCACATGGTTTTTAGGTTTGTCAATGTGGGTGGTCGGACCAAAACGTTTGGAAGGCATCCAGGCTCCCCATTTTGTGGAGGGGATGGGAACTTGAAGGAAGTATCATGCTCAGGCCTATTATCAAGGAGGATGGCATTTGTCACTATCAAACATGGATCAAAATGATTTGCTAGCCGATCTAAAGCCTTTCACGTCCTTTCAGATCTCGCTGCCAAGGTGAGTTGTCCTGGGCCCTGTCCAGGAGTGTGTAACATCACAGAAAGTTAAGATAGAAATGTATTGTTTCAAACAGATATTATTCTGTCATGTAGAATATGGTATCATGTCCGCTCTATTCATTAGCCCACATTTCTATCTGCAACACACAATATACCCATGTTGGTTTCAATCCGTGTGGATGAGGGGGCAAAGAAGTAAAAGGGATGTCACTTTAGACTATTGACATGCACCCCCTAACAACCTGCATCGTAAGAGCCTTCCTTCCTGTTGTCCTCTCTGTAATAGGGGATGTGTCCAAAATGACATCCTATTCCCTATGTAGTGCACTGCTTTTCACCAGAGCCCTGGTCAAAAGTAGTGCACTATAATGGTAGTAAGGGGTGCTGGATGTGTTAAGCCATGGCCACTAACGGACATGCTAAGCCAGCCAACTTAACACAACATTTTGAGCAGCCATTAATGAATTGGAGCAGCTGGACAGTGGGAATCGTGGCAGTGCTAAGGTATTTTGAGAATGTGATACACTTCTAATCGCATTAACACGGCTCCATCATACTCCTTACACCACAATTCTGATTTGTGCAAGAGCCCGAGGCTACTCCAATTGGCTATTCACAGTTTTCACACTATTTGCAGGAGCGGGAAAGAGTAATTCTCAACAGGAATCTTAAAGACATTATTCGTTCTAGAAGTAATTTACTAATGTCACTATTGTTGCTGTTTTTTTTTGCCTTTGGGAAGTTACTTAATGCCAAGGAGATTGAGGTTTAAATATCCAGAACATCAACTGACTATGTATTTCCTTTTTTGCCGGAGTGTCACTTTAAAGACAATTTCACACAAGCAATTTTGTCTGTCGGTGTGTGTGTAACTGGATAGAAGGGACACTTCACTTGTTTTGCTGACAGAACTGTTTGTCAGTAATATCTGAGAGTAGTATAATCTGTCACACCATTTAAGAAGAGGATCTTGTTTGATTGTGGTCTGTCTGAGCAATGCTGAGTGCTGCCAATTGCATCACTTCAAAGATGTCCGCTTTTCACTTAAGCTTATTTTCAATGGCCTGGTTTAAGTATCTGTGTACATATATATGACAGTGCAGGCTACGAGGCAACAGGGCTGAGCCTCAGAGCTTAACCAGCTGCTTTTTGTCACTCGATAATTATGGATTTGACATGGCTGGATCCTTCAATCGTTTTCCCCCTCCTTTCTTCCTGACTGTGTTTAGATTGTCCACTGAGTTTTTTTTCCAGCCATGGTTCTTCTCAACTCTACACTCGTTGGGATTCGCTGCAACAGACACACCACCGCGTCGTCCGCAGCAACGACACCATCCGCCGATGAGATCATAATCCTGAGAGAGATAGACGGTGGGGCCAAGAGGAGGAGGAAGAGAAGTGTTTTTCATTAGTGTCTGATTTCACTGGGCGGG